GGCTTTCTGAGGGGGTCGACGTTGAGCTTATGCTCCATAATAGCGGGGTCGATCCCCGTCAACTCCTCAGGGGTGAAGGCGAAGACATCCCTAAACTCCTTTAATAGTGTGATGAGTTGGTTTTGCAGCTCATCTTTCAGATCTTTCCCGACCTTGGTGGTTTGTTCCTTCGTTTCTCTGATTTGTATCTCCATTAGCTCCCCGTGCGGTTCGAGATCACTGTTTCTTGGCCTTTTTTCGCTCATTGCCGGCTTCTTTCCTCAACTTCTATTTGTTGGTTTGTTTTCACAGCTATCTGGTAACAAGTTCTTGATAGCTTCTGGTCTCCTCGAGCCTCCCCTACTTTATTTCCGACGGGGAACTTCAGCTTCATGTGGAAGGTCGACACTACCGCCTGGAATGCGTTGAGCGCTGGCCTTCCTAGAATCACATTATAAGCCGACTCGACGTCGACTACAACAAACCGCACCATTTTTACTTTCCTCAAATCGCCTTCCCCGAGGACGACTGCGAGTGTGGTTTCTCCTAGGGGTGCGACTTCTGAGCCATTAAACCCAAAAAGTGAGGTGTGCAGAGGCGCAAGCTCGATGTCGAGTTCCATCCGTTTAAGGCAATTGTAAAAGATCACATTCACTGAGCTTCCCGTGTCGACAAAAATCCTCTGCACTTCATAACCTGATATTTGGGCAGTGATCATTAGAGCGTCATTGTCGGGTCTCTCGACCTCCCCCACATCTGCTGGCCCGAAATTCATCACTGGACCGTTTTCCTCAACTTGTTGCACTTCAATTTTTCCGTGGCGACTTCGAGCGTATGCCTTTCTGGCCCGATTTGAGTCTCCATCAGTCGGCCCTCCAAATATCATAGGAATTATTCCTCTTTTCTGAGGGAGCTCCTCCTTGTCGGGTGTCCTCGCCCTCTTGCGAGGACTCTTGCTTCTCTCCCTTCGCCGACTGGTTCGATATCGATCTTTATAAACGAACTCCTTTAGATGGCCTGCTTTGATTAGCCTCTCGATCTCATTTTTCAGGTGCCGACATTCCTCGGTATTATGCCCATAATCCTTGTGGAATCGACAATACAGATCACTTTTGGGTTTTGTCGGTCCATCTTTTCTCGTCCGTGGCCACCTGACCACATTTTCGCGAATTTCTTTCTCCATTACCTCTAATATCCTTGCGCTCGAGGCTATCAGGGGGTATACTGAGTTGTCCTCCATTCCCTTGATCTCCCTTCCCTTTCCGACTTCGGGGATCCTTTCCTTTCTCTCGTCGCCGTTGGTTTCTTATCCTTCTTCTCGTCCCGAGACTTAATTTTTGCTTTAGCTGCCTGCAAAAAGTCGGCTTCAGCTTCCTCGACATTCATGTACTTGGCGCACCTTCCCAATACTTCATCGAACGTCCTCCCGAGTTGTTTCGCTAAGGAGTTCCTGCACAATCCAGGAAGTAATCCTCGAGTGAGTCCTCCCGACTTGATTTCCTCAGTGGCTGAGGGGACGTCGACGCATTTGAACAATAACAAACTAAAATTTGCCACGAAATTCAAACAAATCATTAATTATCTTGAATATGCAACAAAATTAGTTTGTTGCGGAATATATGATTGAATGCGAATTATATGGTTGGAGATGGAAGGTGTATTTCGAATATTAAATTCCTTAATATTAGGGATTATTTGTTTCTTTAAATCCTATAAAAAAATTCATTTTTTTTCACCAAAGAAATAATAAAAAAAAATATTGCTATTAATGGAATCTAATTAATGTTGTCTGAATTTGACCAAAGAGTTAACTTGCTATTTTTAAAAAATAGTAAATCTTATTATATATATATATAGATATCTCCATATCAAAGACAATACTATTGTACATTGCATTTATTGATAAGTTGTTGCATTGTTGACAAATATAAAACTTCTTTAAGCATGCGCATCAACAATTTTATCAAACTCAAACCACACCTTGCACACTGTCACCCGCTCACTGAGAATTTTCATTTCCACCTCACAAGTTATTTCTATTTTCAACCCCTCCAAATGAGGAGAGATCTAAAGACTGAGTTACATAGAGAATGGGTGAGACGAGATCACTCCCTGAAGTGAAAACTCATACTAATTAGTGTAGTTATTTCCGCTGCAACCTAGTGTTTCAATTGTAATTACAATTTTCGCTTTACTTTTGTAATATAAATATTCTTTACAAAAATAAAAATCATATGATTCAAATTTTATCGGACTAAGTTTGATTTCTAATTCTTAGGTTTATTTCATTTTCTTCTGTATTAATCAATATCTTAATTATCAACCGATTGTGATATGATATGGTCCAAGATAGGTGGATCCGTCTTTTGAAAGGTCCGGTTTGAACGTGACTCTGTTGGTTTAGTTTGGTCTAGGTCCGTAAACACGCCGGTACTAGAAAAGGCGTCGGAATTACTCCAGCGCAAGACCCACCGACGCCCAAATCAATATCTTGGAGTTTAAGAGTAACTTGAAATAAATGTAACAGTGATTGTAATTAAATGAGTCTTTCCTGCCAACTACAGAGTTTACCCTTTATATAGTCATTTATCGTACGGTCTCTCCTGTCGGGGCCATAAGTCACCGAACATATATCGGCCGAACATGACTGAATCTGCACCCGACCTTATGATCTAATATTCGACCACCCTTGTACTTATCAGGGAACGATGCTTGAGCCTGTCGACATATGGTCAGTGCTCGAGCCGGTCGACCCCCGCGTCGGTTGTCATATGATCAATGTGCGTTATAGGGTCGACCCTCGGGCCGTTCGACACGATAGCCTATTTCACCCCGGTTTTATGGGTCTTTGTCCGGTTGGGATGAGTCGATATTAATATCCCTATAAACTACTCCCCCCATTTACGAGCATACGAAACGAAATTCGTATAATCGTAAATATCAATGTATATGCATATCGCTATCGCTATTTTTTATTTGTCAATGCTATCGTAAAATTACCGGATATGCTCCAAGTCGGCTCGATACTTAGACTGATCTTCATTTGGTTAGAGAGCCTTGGTTTGACTTAACGTGTGATTACATTTTGATTCATGTCTTTTCCTTTCCCAAGACAATGTTCCTTACCATAGATCTTACCTGCCAAGATCCTATAACTCATATTTACCTAACTTTTCCTTCTAGATTTTTCCCCGTCTTCTATAAATAGTCTCTCTCTTGCGTATATTAAGCCCCGTCCGGCCGATATATGTTCAGGGACTTATGCCCCGAATGAAGAGACCTTACGATTAATGACTATATAAAGGGTAAATTTCGTAGTTGGCCGATAAGACTCATTTAACTACAATCACTATTACATTTATTGCAAGTTACACTTGAACTTCGGGATACTGACTTGGACGTCGAAGTAATTTCGACACTTTTTGAGGTACCAGCAAGCTTACAGACTTTGACCAAACTGCGTTAAAACCGGAGAGGACCTTTCGAAAAACCGGAGCCACATATCTCCGACAATATTAAATTGTTTACCGTTTAGCATCGCGCCTTCGTCCGACCCGGTGTGGGTGGGCGTGACATGGCCCACATATGAAATCATCCAACAAAACATATGTGTATGAGCAGTAATTAGGAGGATTAACAAAAGAGATCCCGAAATCCAATCAAGTATCCTTAAAATCCTTATCCACAACACAAACAAGGGCTCTGCATAATTTTCTAGCTTATATAATCATATGTTTCAATGATTCAAAAATTTAACAGTGAGACCAGATATCTCCCTCTCTCCCTGCATACTTGAAAGAAATGAATCACTTCGAAAGGGCCACAAAAACAATTACTTAAATTTTCAGTCACAATTAAAACAAGAAGCAACACCGATAGATCTACACACATACAGAGGGTACAAATTAAAACTCTGCTGCACTAAAGCACTTGAACTCTCAAAAGCAAGTCGAAGAAGTTCCAGATCTACTAAAAATTCATGTGAACTGATACCAAACATCAAACAAACACACATTTTACTTAAACAAAAGAAGAAAGAAGAAGACGAAGAAATTAAGTAGGGCACAAGTCAATCAATCACCCCTTGCACACCTGGTAATGACTGAACAACCTCTGGTGTAAGAATTAGCAACACCAGGAGTCCTACAATTGTAGTAGGAAGCCCCAGGTTTGTCACAAGGAACCAAATCCCTTCTCAGAGTATCGTAACTTATATACCTTTTCCTCATGAACAAAACCCTTCTGTTGCTCTCAGAATCCATCATCATCATCGTCTCCTCCTCCCACTGCCCCACCATTGCCACTAATTCGCTAGCTTTTTTCACCTCCAAGAGCCCTTCACAAGTGCCCAGCTGGATTTGCAAGAGAGAAAGAGCTATCAACAAGAGACTTTTGTGCATTTTAGTTATTTTTAGGGGGAGGGGAGATAGAATCAGAAGCCTTTCTCTCTCTCTTTCTGTAATGGTGTTTTAACAGTGGTGGTGAAAGAGAGATAACATGTCATGTCACTATGTCAGTGTGGGTTAATTGTTTGTGTGTGAATTATTAAATGAAAATGGTGGCCAGGCCAGCGGCTCTTCCTCATTGATGGTCGGTCATTTGGAGGTGGGGCCTCCGTTGCTTGTTACCGACGACTGCTCTGCTGCTACTGTTGTTGATTGATCGAGTACAGTCCTGTTTTACTTCCTTTGTGTAATGGAGTATATTTATTTAAATTAAGTTTGTCGGGCTTACTCCAAAAATTAATCTATTTTTAGACCACTTTTGGTGGGAAGCTAGAGCATAGCGCTTTATTTTATTTTATTTTTTTTTGACAAAGATAAATTTTATAGCTCAAAAACCAAATGTACAAATAAACACAACTGACCTATCCATGGGTAGAAGTGCCAGGAAGAAAACCTATCTAAAACTAGAAAAAAAAAAAAAAAAAAAAAAAAAAAAAAAAACCAAACAAACAAAACAATTAAAAATCATCAATTGTCGGCATAGTATGAGGCTATGTGGACTGGAAATGTGACCTAATGTAGTTGTACTCGAGAAGGTAAGTACCAAGCAAAAGATAACTCTGCTACTGAACCAAGGGACCTAGCAGGCTTACCACTACAGCAACCAAAAGGACTAACAAGCCATCTAAACCTAAGAGAAGAACTAAAACTAAAAGAAAACCAGCCAAAACTACAAACTAGAGAATTCTAACCAAGCAGAATTTGCAGCTTGAACAATAGAGTAGTAAGAGAGCCAGAAGTTTTGAAAAACCCAAAGATTTCTGGTAAATACAAGTCTTTAGAGAGCAAAGTTTTGATCAACCATTGATTGAAATTGGATGAGTATTCTGCCAGGCCATCCTAGGTAATGGCAGCAAGTTTCCAAACTGTCTTGGCTTTGCTGCAGTGGAAAAGGAGGTGTTCAAGGGATTCCTCTTCAGTCCACATCATTTACAGATGGTGTCAAAAGCTTTAATTTTCTTTGAAAGAGCCAAGTTGACAGAAAGAGAGGTTGAGATGCATTTCCAAATGTAGTGTTTCAGTTTCCCTGGAACCTAAGACACCATAGTTTCCTTCTTGCAAGTTGAGTCCCAGCCCTAAGTTAACCGCATTAGGAATATCCAGCTTTTTCCACTTGTCCTCCATCAAGGAACAGTATACCTTAGCCACAATGAGAGTTCCTGATTTGCATTGCATCAATGTGAGCTTATCCTTGTTGAGAGGTCAAGCCCTTTATGTTGAGGATAGTTGAACTTTCCTCTTGAAAAAAATAGCTCATCACTATATCCAAATTATTGTTTCTACCTGTCTCATCTAGCAGTTCCTGCACCTAGGTGATGTTGTGTCTCAGAAGGTTAGAGGGATTTGGCTTCAAATTTTGCATGTTAGGGAGCTAGGGGTGTTCCCAAATGTTTACTTCAGTTCCTGATTTCACTTTGTAAATGACATTTTGAGAAAAGAAGTCCAAGGTTTTTCTACAACTGGACCACAACCATGATCCATTTTGCATTTTGTGAGCTTGATACGACCATTAGTAGGGGTTCGCCTCAGACCGGTCTGTTAGTGTTATATACTAAAAGCTTGTTATTGGATGATATTACACTTTTATCCTTTATGAATGAGAATCATGTTAGATTAAACAAGTTTTATGTTCTGTTGTTTTGCACTTAGATAGAGTGGGTCGTCATCGGGCGAACCGAAGATCAATCTATCAGTTACTTGCGAAACATGAATAATGGTTCATAACCTAGATGGACATGAACAACCCATCGTGAGCGGTTGTAGTGTCAACGGTACAGTTTGTCTTGACCGATTAGTTGCACCATAACATTTATGTATTGAATAGGATCCCAGAGAGGAGAAGTTCGTTTTATACTGATTGTCGTAAACGAACTAGGCCTCGGTTAATTACTGTGTTCTCTTAACCTGTAAGATATTAAATAGACATATATATGCAGTATTTTATTTTCATTCACACGGGTGAGGTTTAGTGAACTGGACTAGTAGACCCACTGTCTTGGGTAATATTGTTGTATGTATGATGTACTATTAGGATATTTACGGTCACCATGTACGTTTAGTTTGATGATGTTCCCTGAGTGAGTACATGAAGGATTATTATGCTAAACCCTGCAGGTGGATTAAATTCCGGCATAGTAATGTGATGAACATGCGCTAGCTTCGGTAAAAATAATAATACATTAATTAATTCTTGATTGTCAATAATTGAATTAATTAAGGGACATTATATCTTAAACATGGGGAAATAATTCGAGTAATTATCATTGGAGTCTCAACTGTAAATTGGGCTAGGAAAAGGGAGTTCATATTATTATTGGTGGCACATTAATATTATTTAATTAATTAGAATAGTGGGTTTGGCCCACAAATATTTTAATTAATTAAGGAACCCTATTCAATTATTTGTTTAGAAAACATGTACATCCATTCGTTGGATCTAGGATCGGATTATGTAATTTTGTAATTATATTTTTTGTATTGTGATCGTGGATTGATGACCAGGATATCAAAAGAGATCAACGAACCTCGAAGACCAACCGGACTGGAGCCTGGAATCACGCGCGAAGAAGCGCGGTTAAAAAAAAATTAGCGCCATTTTTTTTTTCTCGACCACCGGTGGCCAGCGGCGGCGGTGGCGGCGGCGGGTGGATGGTTTTTTACTTGGTGGCCAAGTAGTACAATATCATTCAGGATTCTACTGCAGTGGGTGTTCCAATTGAACAGGGAAAAAAAATATACAAAGTTTCCTTGTTTATGAAGACTCAATATTTAATGGGCATAATAGTGGATTTATTTATTTAAATTTATTATGTGCATTAAATATTATTTATTTATTTATGCATGTTAATTAATTATTATTTTTGCATGGGATTAATTTAAAATTAAATTATGCATGTTAATTAATTATTGCATTAACATACAATTAATTTAGAATTGCATATATATTTAGATATGTAAAAATCCTCACTAAATTATACTTGATGTGGAATATTACATCCTCGGTTCAAGACCGACATGTTAGTCTAGTGAGGGCACACGACTTGATGATCGAGCAGATGAATAGTCGATCAGAAGCAGATGGATTAGTCGACGGAGTAGTAAGGCACTATATAAAACCGTAAAGAGAAGTTCAACGATCCCTAATAGCGGGGAAAACGTGACAAGAACGGTTACGACGTGGGTCAAACCACTACTCAAGTAAACAGATATAAAGAGGTAACGGCAAGGGAGAGAGAGGTACGCGACATACAATTTTTCATCAATCATTCTAAACCAAGAGGAAAAGAACTAACTTAAGCATCGGAGGGCCAAGCCGGAGAGACCTTCCCTCCGGCACTGGCTTTTTTGTAGGTATTCAGGGCGATTAACCGGCGTGGAAGACGAGATCTCAAAAGGCCTGACCGATTCGAGGTACCAATTTGATACCATTTTGGCGCCGTCTGTGGGACTTTGAACAAGAAGCTTTTGCTTTACAACATCTGAAGCTATGACGAACGGGATTCCGAGGAAAAACTTGCAGTCATCATTTGATGATGCATGTGAAACGTATAATTACTTGCGATTGCGCGAAATGTAGTACGAACGTGGATAAACAACGTAAATAGCGGAAGTAATAAACCGAAGATTTTAAAACTCTTCAGGGAAGCGTCCCACTTCCCCTCAGAGCTCTTTCATTGATAAACCGTTCACACTTGTATAGTTTGGACTTACACGACTCGAACTCCCTTCTAGTCTAGCCACAACTACACACGATCCTATCAACTACTTCTCCGGCCACGTCCCGTGGACTTTACACACTCGAATCCCTCGAGCAAAACCCAGTACTTAATCCCTAAGCACTAAAATAAAGTGTTTGTAAAAGAAAAGAAACAAAACGAGTTCAGTTCTTCAGCAATGTAAGAACGCTGAAAAACTGGACCGAATAAAATAAAAATAATAGAAACTCTCAAACACTCAATTGAAGCTGATGAATGATGAACTTGATTTGCAGCAGCTCTCTTATCTTCAATTGATTGCTTGAGTAGGCTTATATACAACTTCCTTAAGGTAAGGAGTCTTCACAGTTCTTCCATTACCTTTTAGGAGTCAATTTCCTTCTCAATTGATTCTTTTCTGATTTGGACGAAATCCTCCATGTAAGGTAAGCTTCCTTGATGTAGAAATCGTGTTTGTGATTTGGAGATCTTCAGAATTGAGCTTCCAATGGAATCTTGCGTTTTCAGAATCTGGTAAGAACATGACTTTCCAAAATTAGCCGATCTTCCAAATCTTCAAAGATCTTGTGGTGAATCTTTCCAAATCCTCCTTAGATCTTCTCATGAACGTCCAGAACTCTTCTTGTATGGAAAGTTCATCCTTTCATAGTCCTTGCCACCTATTTCTTGTCCTACAAGCAAAAGAGAACTAATTATGGCATGTGGCATACATGGTAAGTAAATATATAGGATATATATTATGTAATCCTTCTCCTAAAGGATTAGGATTCCATAATACATACTACAATAAATATATACCATATATTATTAATAATAAATATTAGGAACTTAATTAAATCATAAGTAAATAAATAGAAAAACTTCCCTTTAATTTATTTTGCTTGCTTAACAAGAAATCTTCTAGAAAACACTTAGGATTGTCGGACATGATGCCAAACCAATGTTCTAACAATATCCCCCTTTGGCATTCAGTTCGAAAACTGTGTTTCTTGAAGATAACCTACAAAATAAACTCAAAACAGCAAAGCAATTATCTATGTTCGAACATCAGGAAGTAAACTAGTCAAACACCTGCAATGTAAGAACATCAGAACAGTTCCTATCAAAATAACTATGAGGACTATGATCAGAGCAATCAAAAGACATCAAACTATCAGAACCTAAGCCAAATAGAGTGAC